AAGGGGCTTGGGCCTCCAGGGTGGCGAGGACTCCGCCTGTGCTCCTGGGAATGGGGGGACGCTGTCCGAGCAGGGCCGTCTGGCCTGAGGAGGGGGTCTGCCCCCTGGTTCCTCCCACAGAGAGCAGCCTCAGCCCTCAAGAGTGGTGCCATCAGTGGGGGGTGGGGTGGGCGCTGGGCGTCGACCTGTGGGCAGAGCTGCAGCGTCCTCACCTGAGAAATGGGGTGGCAAGTCCGCTTGGCAATGAGCTAGGCTGGGCAGCACTGTTGAGGAAAGGGGCCAGCTGGTAGTCGTGGGGTGTGAAGTCCCTGTGCCAGCGACCCAGGGAAGTGGGGAAAAGATAAAAATGCGGAGGGGAGTTAAGAGAACCCAGACTGAGGTCGAGAGGTGTCAGGTGCCTTTCCCCTCTTACCATGTTAGTGAGGCGACGAGGCTGGCCTGGGCATTTAACAAATGGTAACTCATTTGTCACCGGGTCCCTTCGTGTACCAGTTCTGGGCAAGGCGCCGTGTGGCCTCTGGAAGAAACAGCTTGAGCCAGGATCCTCACCTTTATTGGTCCTCTTGTGTCCCTGGGACACACCATAAAAGAGCTAGTGGGGAAGTTAGAGTGCAAGCGTGGGGTATCTCCAGGCCAATAAAGGAGTCAGTCTCCAGGACAGCAGAAGAGAGAGACGGCGGCCCCAGTCCTGGTGGTACAGGCCCAGCGGGAATGTGTGTTCCATCTCACGGGAGGGCCCTGAGGAGCTGACAGCTCCCTGGGCAGCAGATGGGGTGGGGGTTGGGGGGGGCGTGTCTGACATTAGGAGCCAAATTCAGTTCCAGAAACACCTCCCTTCATGTTCCCGTTTGCCCCAAAAGGGGGAAGAAGGGTGATCCCTTTGCCTTCCTGCTCTCAGTGAGGCTCATCTTATGACCAGACTGACTCCTGTTCCCCTGATGTTTTTGCACATGGAGCTCCTGCACATCGCCCTGGCTTCTCACCTGGGCCACCTCTTGGGCAGGAGCCTTGCTGTCCCAAGGCTGTGGTTTTCCTTGGATTGCCTGTGCCCAACACACCTCTGGGGCATAGAAGACCCAGCAAAGCCCGGGCGCTGTCTTCTCCCTCCCCTCACTCCCAGTGTCCGTGGAAAAGCCTGGCATGATCTGAGTTGCTCCTGGCAGCCAGGTGATGGTGATGGGAGAGTGAACCTCTCTGTATATGGAGTGTCTCTTCCTGTTGCCAGCCTGTGGGCACCAGGGTCCTGTGTTCTGAACCAGCAGATGGGAGAGGGCCTTGGCAGCAGGATCCCTAGTGTGTGGTTTTGGTTGTCTTCGACCATACAGAGAACATATTTTATACAGCCCAGGTAGGAGGAAAAAAGGAAAGCCTGAATACTTGCTGAAAATGGAATATTTGCAAGCATTTTTTGAATAGATGAGTCCATTATGGTGATAACTTTCAGGCTTTACTAAACACAGATATAGGTTCTTTATAGGGTTGACATGAAGTGCACTATTAAAGCGTGGCCATTTCCCACCTCTCTCCAAAAATGTCACGGACCATAAGCAATAAAAAAACCAGAGAATGTTGAACTGTTGCGTTCTCTTCTGCCAGCCTGTTCCCCTGACATTCCCCTGAGATGCAGTGTGTTTCTGGGAAAAGAGCCTAATCAGATTGTTTCTTAACTCAAGCCTCAATAGTTAAACTACCCGAAGTGTGAGGATCAGAGCGGTATCTGTCTTCTGTGGCTGCTCCCTTTGTCCGGAAATGACCACATTCCCCCTTTGCTGGTCCTGGGCCCCCGGGGCTGTGGCAGGGGGAGGCGATGAGGTGATGAGGCTCCTCCAGTCTCCACGGCCCGGGCTGAGGGCCTGGGCAGGGCTGTGCCAGTCTCTGCCCGCATGGACGTTACGGCCACTTCCCTCCTCGCCCTGCGCTCTCACCAAAGCTGGAAGGGCTCCTGGGCTGCAAGTTGTTGGGAGAACTCTCAGATCCTCTGTAAACTAGAACCTTCTCAGCTGGCCTCAGCTACCGCAGTTCACAGAAAGCAAAACACACTTTCTAGGTTGGATGGCGTGGTCCTGAGAGGACCGTGTGCACCTGCTTGCAGACTGCAGCACTCAGCAGCTGGGGAGGCTGGACTTTTCCTCGGCACTTGTAGTTGTCCTGAGGGCAACCCCTGGGACATGCAGGAGGTACCCAGCTCTGCTCTCCCTGACTGTTAAAGGTCCTTTGGCGAAATGTCATGAACTGGGCAACCAGGAGACGCTGACTCTACAGGTCAGTCAGGGCTTTGGTGTTAGGTGATTGATGGTATGATAATCATGAAATATATAATGTAGGTGACTTGACTTTATTTCAAAAGACACCTTGGAGTCACCTTCCACTTGAGCTTTTCCCACCCTGACTGTGTGGCCTTGGGAAAATAGCTTTTCATTGTTGGCGTTAATTAAGTGGACACTGTGCTTTTTTCATCAGGCAGCTGCCTCTCTCACCATGACCAGGCCTGGTGGGTAGAAGGGCAGATAGAACACTCTGGATTCCACCCCTCCTGGTGTTTTCTGTGGTGGTTCTCCCTCATTCACCCCCTCAGGGATCCTGGCTGGTAGGGCCATTAGAGATAAGGACCCAACACCCCATGTAAGGAAGTCTCCTCACCTTAGCAGCCTACGTTTCTCCTGTAAATGCAGAAAAGGAAAAGGAAGGCACCTCAGCAGATCTCTGTTGAGTGCCTGCTCTTTGCTCAGGTTTCAGGCTTCTGCAGTGTAATGACTGGTGTGTCATTAAATGCCAGGTTGGGCCTTGCGGCCTGGGAGTAGGAGAGCAGTTTATCTGGGAGGTAAGAGCTGTCTTCACATATCCCTAAGCCCTTTCTAGGGAAGAGGAGATGACTTTAGGGGGAAAAGTTTAAGTCTGTAGAAAGACAAATATTACATAACGTGGTGCTTTCTGCAAACGGGGCAAACTGGCTGGGAGAGTTAGGCAGGGCCCCGTCCCTGGGAGGTCTTTAGTCCGATTGTACTTAAGTGGTGTGGGAGTTGGGATTGTATGACCTGTGAGGCCCCTGCCGCTAACTCCAGATTCTGTGTCTGGAAGAAACTCTCAGGAAATAACTAGGAATTAACTTACAGATGTACTTGGGTTCAAAGGTGTATTTGGAGCAGTATTCATTGCAGCACTGTTTAGAAAGAGAGATGATTGGGAACGCCACACGTGTGCCTCCTCTCTGAAGACTGGTAAACACTGGCTGACTATATACCTCATCCGTTTAAAAAACGAAAAAAAAGTCTTCTTTTTGAACTGTGGCAAGAATTCCAAAATATATTATTAAGTGGAAAACCCGAGATGCAGAGCAGCACACTTGGAACAGCTCTATCAGTGTTGAGGGGTGATGTGGAGTATATTTACATAATTGCTTACTTGCAGATAGATCTAAGATGCTTGAGAAGCTGGTTATGCTGGTTGCCTCCAGAGAGAAGAACTATAGGCAGCTGGGAGACAGGGGTCAGAAAGAGGCCTTTTGAATCTTTTGAATTTTGAATCATGCGAATTATTACTTGTCTAAAAATATGTTTTAAAACTTTATTAGATCAGAGTGCTGTGGACAATAGAGGAGAAGTGGGGAGCAAACTAACATAATTGAGCATCTACTGAGAGCCAAGTCTTAAGCCAAACGCACTTGAAAGGGGCAGGGCCAGAGAAGGGGGTGCTCTGGGGGGGGATGGAGGGGAGGGGCCTTCTCTTGAAGGGGCGCGGCAGACCTGCTTCCCATGCCAGCCTCTGGGCTGCCCGATCAATGAGGTTTGCTGCCCCGGTGAGAAGTATTTCCTCTGCTTCTGCAGAGCTCGGGGCTGGAGTTTGTGTGCGCGTTAACAGGCAGTCAGGGGACTGCGTGCCTGCCTGAGCCAGCAGGCGTTTCTGTGGTGGAGAAGACCTTTCTGGGCTCTGGCTGCCGGGTGGAGGAGGTGCTTATCCCGTGTTGTTCAGCCAGGCTCAAATGTGCTGCCTTTGTCTGCCAGCTGGAGGCTGTCTGGAGAGTTGTTATTTTTCTGACTGTCAGACCTAAGGCTCCTTACTTGCACTTAAAGGAAAAAGCATCCACGCCCTGGTACAGAAGGTCTTTTTTCCTTTCTTTAGAAAAAGAGCAGTGAATGAGCTCATTATCACCACTACGCTGGGGGCAGGGAGGCGAGGGACTCCTCCTCCTGGTCCTGCCCCTGGCCAGGTTTCCCGGAGCAGGGGGCTTGGATCTGGCTCCGGGTGACCAATGCCAGATGGCTGGGACAGGTGGTCCATGTGGGGGACAATGCTGGAGACATCTGGCTGCTCAGAGACCAGCTCTGTGTGCTGTGGTCCAGGGGAAGGACACGTGTCTGCCCTCTTCTCCCCTCAATGCGGAGCTGTGTGCAGGACCGCCCGCCTCCAGGGAGCAAAAGCTCTTCCGTTCAGGGTTACCTGCTCATTCCGGGGCTCTGCTGGTCTGAGCTCTGGGAAATGTCCCTACAACTCAGAGCTGGTGGTCATGCAGTAGCAATTATCTGTTAGGTGCTCACGAATTGCCAGGCCCTGCTCTGGGTGCTGGGGGTACAGCCCGGAACAGAGCTGGCACCGACTCCGTCCTCATGGAATTTAGACTCTAGCAGGAGCAGTGGAGGGTGCCTGCCCTGGCCTGCTCTTACACCTTCTACTCAGTCTCCACTGGGTCTGGAAAGGCTGGAGGGTGGGGGAAGTGATGTATCAGTTGCCTTGGAAGGGAGGCTCTTGGGCGTTTCCAGTAGCTGAGCCCCAGTTGTTCCTCACTCACTCCCTTCAGACCATGTCTTTAGACCTTTGGGGGCTGGGGCCGGAGAAGAGCCTTTCTTGACCTGAACATGACTCTGAAACCTTGCAGGTTGGTGCTGGACCTTGGCATCATCTGGAAGAGTCCTGGAGGCCTGCCCCTGCACACGCTGCTGGTGAGCTGGCAGTGTCTGACTTGAGCCTCACAGCCTGTCTTATTCCTCTCTCTTCCATCTCAGATTGAGAAGATCATGAGCTCTATTGGAGAAGGGATCGACTTTTCTCAGGAACAGCAGAGGATCTCAGGTACCGTGCCACGCAGCCGTTGCCCCCGCGGGACGCAGCCCTTTCGCTCCCTTCTGGCTCAGACGTTTCTCTGACCCAGAAGACAGACGTTTGGGGGTGAGCGAGGTCAGCCCAGACCACGTCACACTTGCGACTACACCGCCCACACAGCTGTGATTTTTAGGAGCCATGACTCCTTTTGCATAGTGGAGCAGAAAGTGGACAGAGGCATCTTAGGCTGACTGTGAGGAAGCTCCGTTTTAAAAAGGGAGCGACTGTCACTGTTATTTTCCTAAACGTGGGCTTTCTCTGGATGGCTCACTGTGGGTGCTCCTCGAGTTGGTCCCAGCCTCCCGGGCGGCTCTGCCTCTCCCTGGGAACGTGGCTTGGGCCCTCCTGACCCATGATGGTGGCAGTGCCCTGGCGTGGGTTGTTCACCTGCATCGCCTGGAAGGGTTGGATTTGCTGCTCCCTCCTCGTGTCTGTTTCTCCATTTTTCCCTTTATTCATGTTCACTTCAGAGCACTGTTACTTGGGGTATTCTTTTCATTTCAAAGCCCTATAGGTAAGCTCTACCTCCGTTTCCTTTGTTTGAAACAAAGGCACTAGGGAGGCCCTGCCTGCGCTGTTTTCCTTGGTGATAGAATTATGGTTACGCAGCTTGCTCAGGTGAGGTGACATTCTTACGGTGCCTCTCAGAGCACCTCTCACACCCTCCCCTCAAGCCTCTGAAGGCACCTTTCCACCAGGGCACCTGCGCGGACAGCAGCTTAGGAACTGGCCTCTTGCCGTCATCAGGGAAGGGTCCCTCTGCACTTAAGGGGCGGCTTCCATGTTCATTCGGGAGGCTCCATCCAAGACTGACCTGTGAGCCCAGAGTGGAATGGGCCGTTCCTGCATGGGCCCCTGGCCCCGGCAGGAAGTCTGGTGGACGACGGGGCAAGTGTGCACCTCAGCGAGGAAGCTGCTGCTGAGGCCACGGGCCTTGTGGGGGCCTCGGCCCTGTCTCAAAGCCTGATTCTAGATGCACGTGTGTCCAGGGCAAGGTGCTCACTCCCTCTGAGCCCTCAGTTTCCTATCTACGACATTTGGATAATAGTACTTACCTCTTTTCATTTGTTAAGGATAAGTAATACATACAAATCTTTGAGGTAAAGCGGTGTTCAGTAAATAGTAGTGATGCCTGTTTTTGTCCATGAAACAATTACTTCCTCATGTTGAGAAATCCACTGGGTTCCTCGAGCCACCCTCCATTCAGCAGCGCTGTTTCCCTGCGCTCTAGCAGAGAAGGCCCAATTGGGTCGGGTCCATCTTTACTAGTCATGGATTGTGCGGGAGGTCTGCACAGGTGGCTCTCCTGGCTGAGAGTTTGTGGCTCTGTTTCATGGCACTTGCCCACATACAGTCCGGGGAGCTTAATTATAGTTTGCAGGCTTTTCCAGGAGCAAGTGTTTATTGGGGATAATGTTTAGGACCGAGACAGACACTGTGGCCATTTTCAAAGCTGTGCTTTAGGGGCAGCGGGGATGGGTTGGCTGCAGTCAGTTCAGTTGAGGCGGCTCTCTGCTTCCCTGTGCCTCTCTGCGTCTGAGGAGCTTGCATCAGTTGTGTGTGCTCGAGAGGCTGGTGCAGAAGCAGGCCATTACCTTTTTGCTTTGGTGAATCAGGAGACGCAACAGCCCTTCTGGAAAACACTTTTGGAAGAGCCCTTCTTCTTGGAGTTGGTGACAGTGAGCCCTTTCCTTCCCCTGTGGGCCCCACCCCCGAAATCTCACCCCCCGTGAACCCACGTGAATGGCGAGAGGTGGTCCGGCTGCCCGCCTAGGTTTCTGGTCCCAACACACAGTGTTTTTAGTAGCACTGAGTAGCATCCTCCAGACCCCAGCTTGGGAAAGTTGAGGGTGAGTACACAGAGGTGGCCCCCTGAGCAGAGGGTGCGTCCACCCGCACTTCAGAGTCCCAGCCTGCAGTGTCCATGGGGTGGCCAGGCTCAAGGATAGAGTGGGGCCCAGGCCTGCCCGTAACCTCTGTCCGATGTGTCGGGAAGGGGGACTTTCCCCAGGACCTCAGGGAGCACCAGCCTTCAGCTAAGCCCCAAGTAGATTTCTTGTTCATTTTGAATGGTCAGTATCAGATTTCAAACCGTCCTTGGTTTCTGGGTCTAGGAGAGGAGCCCTGGACTCAGGGGTCACTGTCCCGGGAGGAGGGAGCAGGCTCACAGGCAGGCAGCCCTTAGCTAAGCAGGGCGTTGCCGGCTGTGACTGGTTTTGCAGGGGATCGTGTCCTGAAAGCCGAGACCCCAAGACAGTGCTTGAATCACTCTTATTTGGGGCCATGGGCCCCAGAGTGGCTGGCTCTGGAGCTGGTGACCTGTATCCCCGACAGGCCTGATCGCCAGCTCATCCCACTGTCAGGAGTCCAGGGAGGGCGGGCCTTGCCCGGCCCAGCCCACTCTGGCTGCTTTCATCAAAGGCCTGTGCTGTCCAGCCAGTGAAAGAAAACGCTTGACTTTCTTTTGCTGCAGTCAGCCATTTCAGTGGTTGAGTAGGTGTGTCCGGGAGAGCAGTGGGCCAGCCTGCTGGGGGGCAGCTGTCTCCCAGCACGTTTAGAGGGTGGCGTGTGGTCCCCAGGTTTGCGTCCGTGTACACGTTACTGTTTTTGTCTCCGCGGCTGTGCTGGAGGTTTGGTCCCGGTTTCCACTCGTCCTTGGTGCCCCGGTACTGTGTCCTCGTCCTCCTGATTTTGATCAGCCTGCTGTGGGCCTGGCGCTTCTCTGCTGGGTGCTCACGGCCTGGAGAGAAGTCATTTCCTGAGTTGTTTGGTGCACTCACCTGAGAACTCTGTTGTCCTGTCCTTATTTTGTCACCTGTTTTTTGTGATACCTCCTGGCTTACCTTCTTGGCAGAGAGGCACAGTCATTCCAGAAGTGATTGGGCGGGGCGGGGTGACTTCACCTACAGGCTGTGCCCTCAGGTCAGCGTCACTCCTCTGACCCCTGTCTGGCTGTCCTAGAAACTATCGGCCAAAACTGTAGGATGTTCCTTCTCTGTTCTCCCTGATCAGCTGTCTGCAGCCCCTGGAGCTGGAGGTAAAGTTCGGCCGTCTCTGGCTTTCGTACGTGTGCACAGTGGCCAACAGCAGATACTGGAGAATCTGTTGGAGAATCCATCCTTTTGCTCCCGTGCTGGTTGCTGCTGTCTCCTTTTCCCTTGGTGGCAGCAGCAGCAGCTTCTGCCACGATGTCCGATCCCTGATGCGTTTTCCTGAGTATGGAAGGGCGGGGGGAGGGGAGGGGAGGAGGGGGAGGGCCAGACGTTAGGAGAGTGAGCAAGGACTGTGGAGCCAGCAGCAGGCAGCGTGGAGCCCAGGAGCCTTCAGACAAAGCATTCTGCTGCGGCTCTGGACGCCTCACGGCCACCGGCAGCAGGCGGGACTGCGGTTGCCGGGCCAGGGGATTGTGAGCAGGAATGCATCAGCGGCCGGGGGACACTTGATTTCACAGGCACACAGAAGCCCGCTGCTGAGGTTCCTGGAGCAGACGGCCCCGCTCCAGGGCAGGGGGGTCCCAGGCTGCCCCCAGACTCGGCATCCCGCAGAGCTGCTACCGTGTGCCTCGGGAGGCTGGCCGCCAGGGCCCTGACCACCATCTGTTTTGCAGAGGACAGAGGAGGGGGAGCCTGGGACAGTGGGTCACCAGGGTCTCCTACCTAAACCAAGCCACTTGGCCTGCCTGCAGGGGCAGAAAGTGCTGGGAACACCAGAATGACTTTCACCGCACCAAGGCTTCTCCGGAGGTGACGTTTTTGTAGTTGGTTCTCCTTTTTCCTTCTTTCATCTCTTCTTGCCCATGAGAACTGGAGTAGTAGATGGGGTTAAGGTGATCAGCTCAGAGCATCCACGGTCTTCCAGGAAGGGCTGAACTTCTTCCTGCACTCGCAGGCTCCTGGTCCTACCCAAGGAGCAGAGCAAATGAGGTCCTCCCTTTCATGTTCATCCTCAGAGGAGGGGGGCAAGCCCCGGAGACGCTGGGAAGACAGCTGCCGTCTTTATCACTCGGCCAGAGAGAGAGCAGCGCCGAACGGGAAATAGACTCGAGCCACACAGATGACAGAGGACGGCTGCCTTTCTCTGTTGTGTTGGGCTGGGTTTTGTCTTCTTTAGCTGAGAGCTGGATCTGCCCGCTTGCTTTCCACCGGAGCAGGCTAGTCACAGGAACAGCCACCGTCGGAAGAGGAAGATGAACGCCCAGCCCCCGCCGCCCAGCCCCGCCCGGGAAGGCTGGCCCGCGGACAGCGACCTGGCCCGGGAGACGCCCCGCTCGCCGGCGGCCGGAGTGTAGTGGGGTCCCGGCCCCCAGCCCTGGCCCATGTGCCTGCCCGGCCCGCACCGCCTTGAGCCTCTGCGCACGAAAGGCTGGTGGCCATGGTTTGCTTGTTCCGGGACTGCTGGGGGAAGACAAGTAAAAGTCTCCTTTCTCCGCGGGCCGGGGTCCTGCTGCTTGGGCTGCATGCGCTGGCTGCCCGGGGCCGGGCGCGGATCCGTCGCTGTGCCTGTGTCCCTCCGCTGCATGAAGAGGCGCGCTCGCCCCTGACCGGCCTGGGCTGCAAGGTCGTGGGAGTCCCTCGTCCCCCGCCCCTTCTGGGGCCTGTGGGGACAGACTTTGTGAAATTCCTGCGTGCAGGCGGACGAGCGTCGACCCGGAGAGCCTGGGGGCTCGGCTCCTCTGGCCCCTGGGCTGCGGCCGTGCGGGCGGTGCGCAGCCCCTGGGCAGCCGGCCCCCGGGGGGTGCGGGAGTGGGCGGCAGCCGCCTGGCGCCCTTGCGCGCCCGCCTGCCTCCGGTCCCGAGTGCGGCTGCTTCGTGGTGATGACGATGGTGTGGCAGTGTCGTCTGTCTGCCTCCGAGTGCCGCTGCTACCGCCTCGATGGTTTCTCCCTGTTCAAGCGTCTGCCGATTCCTCTCTCGTCAGGTGCGCGGCCGCTGGAACAGAGCGTCGGGGAGTGGCTGGAGGCCGTGGGGCTGCAGCAGTATGAGAGCAGGCTGCTTCTCAACGGCTTTGACGATGTCCGCTTCCTGGTGAGTGCCCAGCCCCGGGGGAGGCCGCTCCAGCACCCCAGGGAAGAGGGGCCGCGCGGCTGAGACCCGGCGGTGGCCAGCGTGGCCCCGCATTCTCAGCACTGCCCTGGGCACACCCTGCTGGGAGAACTCTTCAAGTTCGCCTCGGAGTAGTGTCCCTATCACATCCCTTGGTCCAGTCCTGTCTCCCTCTCAGATCCCAGACAGACACCAGAAGCTCCCTTTGTTCCCCAAAACTTTATCGTCAAGCCTGTGGTCACTGAAGTCTGCAGGTTTCCAGCAGGAAGGCCTGGTAACCGGCCGGTGACCTCTCGGGTGGCCCAGAGGAGAGACTGAGCAGGGGTGGGAAGGATCGGCTGCTTTACTGAGGTGTAACTTTGCACTCTTCTTGCAAAGCACAACAGCTCAGAAAGAGAAAAACCTAAGTGTCCTCTCTGTGGAGCAGGGGCCATCAGGACCCTGGGTCCAGACCCAGGGCTCCCTGTGCAGGTCCAAGAAGCAGCTGTGGGCGGCCTGCCCATGCCCGACCCTCCTCTGGAAGCCCTCCCCAGATGTGCTCCCAGGCGGGTCAGGTGGGGGCTTCGGCTCAGGTCCTTAGCAGTCCTGGCTGTCCCAGGGCGGGCGTCCTGCGCAGTGGTGGGGACAGAGCTGATGCGTCCTGTTAGCTCTTTGGGTGCGGGGAGGCGCTCACTGACCCTCCCAGCAGCCCTGAGATGTGTGCTCACATCTCTGGGAACTGGGGGTAGGACATGAGCCTGCCACTCCGGTCCGAGGGTCCTGCTTCGCTGCCACGCACACGGCCTGCTTCTTACTGGTGGCTGAGGGGCGTGGGAGAGGTGCCTTTTATATGCTTGAAGTCGCCTTCTTGCCCGCGCTATGTTGGGAGCTGGTTTGAGGTTCCTTGCTTCCTGGTGGGCCTGTCCTGCCTCTCACGATTTCCAGGGTACAGTCCTGAGTGGACACTGAGGTGCCTCCGCTCCCTAAAGCAGATCCCTGACCACCCAGCCCCCTCGGCCGCCGTGATTGAGGGTGATGGTCAGTGGACCCAGGGCTCCCCCTGCCCTTTCCTGTCCAGCGAGGGTCTCTTTAGGGTTCTCACTGATGGGGTGGCATTGGGCACCTCCCAAGTAGTGGGCCACCCAGGGAGCTGCCTGAGGCACTGTAGGGGACCCTGACTGGGACAGCTCACCTCACCAGGCTGCCTCTGTCTCACCAGGGCAGACAGTGAAGCCTGCTGCAAACCACCCTTCCTGAGCCGACTTGAGGCCAGTTATTTTTCAGCTTTTAAAAATACTAAGTTTTAAAGTAGTTTTTTTTTTTTTTTAAGTTGAACTGAGTATATTTATGGTTCTTACAACCTAATGCCTGACTTACCAGGTTCCTTGGGGAAGGCCAGTAAACCGAAAACAGAGGTGGGCGTTCAGCCAGTAAGGGCGGGCACTGGACCCTTGGTGCCGGCCAGTGAGGGGCCTTCCGTCTCTGAGCACGGCCCTTCTTCAGACTGCCCGTCAGAGAGGGAGGGTTGCCGTGGGTGTCCTCTCCCTGCGCTGGGGGATCTTAGAGGCTGAGCTCCTGACTTCTCATCCCTCCTCTTGCTGGTCTGGAAAGGTTAAGGTTCCCATTCTGTGAATATAAAGACTCCTTTAAAACTGCTTCTCTTAAAAAAAAAACACAAAACTGCTTCTCTGCCCCTCCTTGTGCTCCGACCAGAAAGTAGCTGGGCGGGCACCTGGGGAAGAAGTGTGGCCCTGGGCCAGACATCCACGCATGAGGCAGGGCCTCTGTTGGAACACATCTGTTCTGTTTGGGAAGGGGCTCATTGAGGGAGGCCCGCAGCTCAGTTCTTCCAGGGCCTTCCTGGCCCTCCTGCTGCCGTGGGTGCAAGCCGTTCCCCTCTGTCCTCTCAGCTCAGGAGGGGCAGCTGGCAGGCGGGAAGGCTGATTGCACCTTAGTCTATCATGTCACTTCTCAGGCCCTCAGTGGCCTGAGTGGCTGTGCACAGTATCCTGGGTAATTGCATGTAAGTTGCCAGATGGGCTGCAAGGCTAATTAAGTTTTAGAAACCAGAAAAGAGAGGAAGAAGACACGTAAGCAGGGAGCGTTTTGTTTAGAAACATTCCCTTGTTGCATATGGTGTAACTTACACCGCGTTAGCTGGTGGCATTATCCCTGTGTGGTTTGGTTTTCAGTAGATTGTAAATGTCTCCCTTCATGATGAAATGCCCGGGAGACTCTTCTACAAGATGCACAAGTGGCTCCCAGGAAGCCAGCCAGGCTCTAGATGTAGTAGGAATGTCTGAGACCAAGGGCTGCTATGGAATCTCCCTGTGAAGAGGTCCTCTGAGTTGTGGGAGGAGTCTAGGGCGTGTGCTAGAGTCACTCTGCTCCCTCTCAGGGTAGAAGGGACCTTAACCCCACGTGGTCTCATCCTCCCCTCTGTGCCTGAGGTCCTTCCAGATGAGCTCCGCCCTTTTCCCAGTGACCCCCCCCCCCCCCCCCCCGGAAAGGCACAGTCCCTTCACTTTCTGCATCGCTCAGGCTGGTTTAGACCATTCTTTATATTGAGCCAAATCTGTTTCCTTGTGGCTTCTGTCCCTGGATCCAGGTTTACTTTCAGGGGCCCCGCAGAGTACAGTTAAGCCATGAGAAAATGGAAGATCTCTGTCACAGCCTCCTGGGTCCTGTCTTGTCTGAGCCCAACACCCTCTTTCCCTTGGCTCTTCCTCCTGTGATGTGAGACCTGACCCGGACGAGTGAGCGCTGCAATTGGAACTTGATTCACACTCTCTTGCCCGCAGGGGCAGGGCAGCCGGGGCTGCCAGGTGCCCCCAGGGTGACAGGGCTGACCCTGACCCTGGAGCCAGGGTGGGGAGTCCGGCTCACACCGCCCACCGCGCTGGCCTGTGCATCGAAGCCAGTTCCATTTGTTTCACCACAAATCTTGTCCACAGGAAATGCGCTTTTTCAGGAGAAGGGAGGAAATGCATTTAATCAGCACGGAAAGAAGGTAATTGGTGTCGGCAAGTGTGTAGCTCAAGCGCGCTGGTGCAGGTCTGGTATCTGGGACTTGGCCTGACCTCCGCTCACTGGAGTGTCGTGGAGTCAGCAGCGGTGCTCCTCTGCTGGGGCTGGGTGGACGTTTAGAAAGGTTCTCAAGACTGTCTCATGTGGAGAAGCATTCACCTTGGAGTGTTGAGTGAAGAAACTGAGACACAAAAATCTGTGTGCAACATATTCTTAATTTTCAAAATAGGAAACATTTCGAAGTGCAGGGAGTAAGCCAAAAATGTATTCCACGGTTCGTTATCTCAGGGGGATTATGGCTTTGTTTTCTTTTTGAGAGTGAAATAGATTTTCTGCATTTCCTACAAGGAATGGATCTGACATCAGATAAGCAGATAGTGTAGGCATCTTAAGGAATTTGACTGTCTAGCTGGGAGAAGGCGCACACAGGGCACTGGTAACAGCGGCGAGTGCTAAGTGCTGGGCATGGAGGAGGCGCCTCGCTCACCCAGGGTTCACTGCCTGCCGGGCACTGAGCTGGCGCCCAGCCCTGAGGCGGGTGCCCGTCAAGTTAGAAACAGGGCCCTGGGCCCAGAGGGTGGAGGAACTGCCAGGAAGTGGCAGAGCCGGGACACTCACCCAGAGCTGTCTGACTTTGAACCCTGGCATTCCCCATGCCATCCTGGGGGTTTTATAGAGGCTGCAGGAGCTAGAAAGACTCTAGGGAGAGGCCCCCACTGTCTGTGGTGAGCTCAAGGCCAGCTCAAGGGCAGAAGCGGGCAGGGCCCAGAGAGGGCAGCGAGGAGGGCTGGGCCTGATGGAGAAGGACCCCAAAAGCCACGCTCTGGGGAGCCCCCACAATCTCTGAGCCCTGGATGTAGGGGGCGGGATCCTGTGGTTATGCCTTCGCCAGGCAGGGCACCGGGGAGTCAAGGTGCCCACTGGGCAGCCTGGTGGAGTGGGAAGCGGGCACGTGGCAGATGATCGAGGCTGGAGTTTGGACAAGCAGAAAACGGGAAGGAGTCCGGCAGCGGCTAAGGCTGGGCTGGAAAGCGCAGAGGAGGGCTGAGCAGCAGGCCTGTGCCTCTCCAGGGCAGCGCTGGGGAGGCCTCGTGTGCCTCCCGTCAGTTTGTTTCTCCCCTCTGCCCATGTTTTCCTTGTGTTTATGTGCCAGCTGGCCCCACGTGTAGGGGAGATGTGGCGGGTGAAGAGGACCAGGCCCTGTGAGCGCTCAGGGCACGAGCTTGGCCAGGGGCTCCTTCTGCACTGGCTTCTGTGAAGCTTCCCAGCCAGGTCCCCAGGCCCTCAAGCCCCCAGATCAGCCTCACTGTTCACCCTCAGAAACCAGGCTGTGCCCTTGGGTTCCCGCCCAGGCTCCCCCTGCAGCTCCTCATTCCGCCCCCCGCCCCGCCGACATCCCTCCTTTTGCCTCTCCCTACCCTGCGGTCAGGCAGCCTCCCCACCTCGACGTCTCTCCACCAGCCTGGCTCGTCTCCACAGAGCGCTCGGGGAGCTGATGGCTCTGGGGCGGGGGTGTTTCTGTGCCCGCCGTGTATAGCAGGGCCCGAGAGGGAGAGTTTCCTCACCTGGGTCATTGGGGAGGTGTGGAGCTAAGGCTTTGAAAGGAATCAGTTCAGTTGCTCAGTCGTGTCCGACTCTTTGTGACTTCATGGACTGCAGCACACCAGGCCTCCCTGTCCATCACCAACTCCTGGAGCTTACTCTTTTGGAAGGAATATTCTTAGACAAGGGCGGATCCTGCCTCCTGGACTAACTCAGTTCTGTGATCACTGAAGAACTTAGCTCCTCGGTGTCCCAGGGGTTGCTGCTTCCTTCTCTGCAGGGCCCTTGAACTTGAGACCAGAGCCAGGCTCCCTTTGGGCCCTTCCCAGCGCGTGCACTCTCTTGCTCCCCCTGGAGTTACCCAGAGGGCCAGTGACTGGAGTTCCTTAGCATCCAGCTCCGCGTGCCCCCGTGCAGCACTGGCCTGCTCCCAT